CAAAAATTCAAGTTAATGCATCTGATATAAAAATGTATTGAACAGATACATATGTACTCTAGTTTATGAAACTGTTGACCTTTTTTCTGTATCATTTTTGGTTCTAAAGTTCCATATGTTTTAAACAGACCATGTATGAAACATGGAACAAAAATTATTTCCCAAATTTCAAAGACCTGCAAATCATGTCAATAAATGGATGTATTTCATCATATCTTGTGTTATTCCATCTCTGAACTGTTGATGAAGGTACATGATTTTTTTTTTTTTTTTTTAAATGATAAAAATTTGCTTGGAAGGACTGACATATTTTATAGAAATAGTTTCCTTTCATTTTGAAGTAATATTAAAGTATTGGGAAGAAAAAAACTGACAAATGATGTAAAATCCTGCACCTTCTACTTGTTTGCACAATTTTCCCTCTGTTACTTTTCCCTCTGTTACCATGACCTTTCTTAATAAAAAATCTCATGACTCAAAAAGTAAGAGGTTTTTCAACCTAATCTTGTACCATATGGTAGAAAACTATATGAAGCAAATATTCAAACCAGTTTGTTAAGGATATGGAAGTGAGAACCACTAGTTATCACTGTTTGGATTTATTGACCAAAAAGTGCTGCATATTTCATTCCCTCCGTTACCAACATGAGTTTTTTAATTTTTTGTCAACAACTTGAAAGAATATCACAGGTTTAACTTGACCCTGTTGGAGTGTAACTCTTTCCTACATTCTGATACTTTACTTATTTCAATAGTCCCTCTAGTTTCTGAATAAGAGACATTTGAATGTCAAAAATCTGCCCCTGTTTCAAAAGTCAAAGTGGACTTGACTATACATAAGAAAAAAAAGCTCTTCTTTGTTGAGAATCTATGAAACAAAGCCATAGTGGACCCTCGACCTGAAAAGCAGCATAGTGCACCTTTAAGAATTGGCAAGTCCAGTTTAGCTTTGTTTCTAAAATGAAAGGATAACGAAGCATATAAATAAAAAGATGAAGGCAGTGAGCACCATCTCCTCAGAATAGATGACCCTCGTAGTGGAAATTTTAATTCTAAAAATATGATTAGTATAAAAGGTGATGAGAAAAAGATGACAATAGCCACTATCTCCCTTTCAGTTCACATCTGTCCATCATCATGGTGAGGACAGCACCTTTTATTTTGAGCAGTAATGCAATTTAATGACATAGTTTTCTTGGAGGCTCAAAACAATTAGTAGTTTTCAGATTCTCAAATGTGATTATGTCATATTCCCTAACTCAGGACAGACATGTCTCACATAATCAGAACTTTGAGCCTAATCCTAAATGCTAAATGCTGGTGCTAAATACTCAGTGTTCAGTATTTATCAGTAATGATCCAGAAACATGGTGGCTTTCCATGGTAACAGTCACTTTTGACATTCCAAGTTCTATTGATTATATTGTATCTTCTTATGCAATATCCAAAAGGTACATTGGTAAATGTTGAGCCTAATCTGTCCGATTAGTGACTTGACCCGAAAACTTGTTGTGTTTCAACAAAAACTACATTTTAATTATATTAATTAACCTGCCCTCATTATGGTGACATCATCTGAAGCTCAGCAATACAAGCTGCTCTATTGTCATTGTCAAATATAATGCAATTTCTCATTCATTCTATCAGAAAAGCACACACAGAACATTTATTGACAATACAGCACATCCCACCAGTCAAAGAACTTTTTCATAAGCAATGCACCAACAGTGTACAATGTTCCACTGGGATCCATAATAGAAAGAAAGAGCTTTAATTACAGTAGTGACTCAATACATGTTTACCTTCATGATACCTTTGTGATTACCCTGTGGAAGCAGCTTCTTTGGAAGTCCACCAAACTAAACCAAAGCCTTTGTCCATCTTCTGCATGGCCTTGGACAGATATTTGAGTCGACACTGCCTGGAAAGGAGTGTGTCTTACATATATTAATGATCTCACAAGACAAAAACTTATAATGTGATCACACAGCCGAAGTAGCTACTTATGTCCATATCACACTACATAAATCTCCACCATCTAAAAAAAAGCTTTTAATCATGTTATTTTAGGATAAGCATATAGGATTCTGCAGCGTTGCTGGCATGATTTGTAGCTATCTATGGGAGGGGTCGACAGTGTGGTTCGATTTTACAAAAATAAGAATATAATAGTTAGTCATTTTTAATCTGTATCTGAAACCTTAGCCCCAGAGCTTGCGCATAAACGTCAGATGAGTGTCTTCTAGTTAGATGTGAAGTAGAGATAAAGGTGTAAACATCCATTGGAGGGGCCAACAGGATGGTCCTGTAGAGCAGTACTTTGCTGTGATGGCGTTTACGGTGGTGTACCTTAAAGGGGCAGACTGGAATCGGCTCCTTATACCTCATTGGGCACAACAAAGAGTTCACTAATTTGTTTTTGATCAATATTGTGATTTCAAATGTCTAAAACATAACATAATACGATCCCCACCTGTCATACATTATAACTATAGCAAAGAAAAGTACAATCTATCTTAAATAACATCTGAGCATTCGGAGCTGAATGTAGTGTTGCCATTTCTATTAAAATTCCATTCCAAATCATTCTTGCCTGCTGAACTTAGCAACCTTGGATGAAGTGTTCAGTTTTTTTTTTTAGGGACACAATCCACAGCTGATCCCTGTGTCCTTCAGTTTTTGTACGTGCAGTGCTCAGTTATTATGTGGACTGCCAAGGACAGCAGTACTTTAGCATCGGTTGCCTGACATACAGGACACAAGGGGCAAGGTACATCTTTACTTTGCTGTAAATCTTACATACTATTTTTTTTTACATAGGTTTTCTGAGATTCTACTTCTCCAAATTGAGTCATGCTTTTCCTATCATATGTTTTTCAATAAATGATTTAAAATTACATTACACATTGATCTACGTTTATTTCAATGCAGCTGGATCATACAACCTTCGCTGTCTTTTCTCTATTGTAGGATATGACTGACAATTTTATTTTTAATGTCACAAAATGATCAGACAAACAATTTATTTCTTACCAACAATGAAACCCCCTAGAATATCCAGTCTTCATATTTAAGTTCAATACAACATTCCTACACACAGTGTTGGGAAGGTGACTTTTAAAATTACATATTCCAAAATGTAGTTTGTAACGGAATCCATTAAATTACTTAAAGTGAGTAATGTAATCTGAATACTTTGGATTACTTGATTTGCTGTAGAGAAGCAAAGACGAGGAAATCTTCACATAAGATGTTTTCTCTGTTAAAAGAAAATAAAAAGCCCAGACTTTAATCAACCAAATTAAAAATATTATTGGTAGAAGAAGAGGAGACACGGTCCACGTGGCATGATTTAGTCCTTTAAAATCCTGGTTTAGACCTGGTTTAGACCTAGTTTAGACCTGGTTTAGACCAGGTTTAGACCTGGTTTAGACCAGGTTTAGACCTTGTTTGGACCTGGTTTAGACCTGGTTTTAGTCCTAGTTTAGACCTGGTTTAGACCTAGTTTTAGTCCTGCTTTAGTCCTGGTTTATTCCTGGTTTAGTCCTGGTTTAGACCTGGTTTTAGACCTGGTTTAGACCAGGTTTAAAACTGGTTTGGACCTGGGTTTAGACTTGGTTTTAGACCTGGTTTAGACCAGGTTTAAAACTGGTTTGGACTTGGGTTTAGACCTGGTTTAGTGTCCGGCAATAAGTGGAATTACCAAACAAAACAAAACAAAAAACGGAATAGCCCAAAATGTGAAGACAGGAAAATACCTCTGCGTAATCCATTTATTTCAACCATGTAACTGTAATCCAATTACCTCTCAGTGAAACAGTAACTGTAACTGAATACAGTTACTCATCATTTGTATTCTGATTACGTAACTCTGGTACATGTAATCTGTTACTCCCCAACACTGCCTACACAACAGTTGGTGTACATTTCCATCTTAATTAATTATGTAATCTTTGTGAAAATACACTTTCAGTCACATCCCACAGGTGCGTAGCATTGTACACAAGATGACTTTGAATGTTTTTCTGTTTGTTTCCTTTCCAAAGTTTGAATGAACCTTGAAGTCATGGGTTAAAGATGTGTGTAGCAGAAAAAAACAGTGACTCAGTTGCCACCGTCAGTTCTGATGGACAAGCACTGACGCCACATTCTGTCGACTACTTTTCTCTTTTATTTCTATGGTTCCATTTCAGATATACTTAAAGAATGTATTGTAATGGAGGAAGCCAAGAAAACAAAATAAAAATACATTGTCTGGATCCATGTTACAGATTGTGCAGCAACAAGACCATCAGCCACTTCAGATGTTCAGTCTTCTCTGTTATTACAAACAGATTGGTCCCCTCGCTATAGAGAAGGGTAAGCACTGCAATTTGTGTTCAATTCTATCAACTGGACAAAAGGCTTTACTCTAAAAATCTTGTGTCCAGTTGGCAGAATAGAATTTTTCTTTTGCTATTCTCCTGGAAATGAGTTTAAATGATTTTGAGATTTGTTTGTTTTTTTCAGTATATGGGTTAATTAAAAATAATAATAAAAATCTGAGTATTTGAATCTGAAGAGACGACACATGAGTGACAAGAAATGCATCCTTGTCTTCAGATTTGATCACAACGTGCACACTGACGAAGACAAGACTCTTCCACACAGTTCCCTTGTGGGCTGTGATTGTGTGGACATGGAACGCCCTTTGAATGAACATTTTCAAAAGTGTGGCCTTGAGTTGTGAATGGACAAAATGACGCAGGAACGCACCAGTATGCATCAAGCGGGGCAGAAACGAGTGATGCAGCGCTACTGAGTCAAAGACATGGGCTTAAAGTGTTGGTCTTTTGCAGATTTCATTTGGCGTTGCTGGTGAGGGTGAGTCACGGTGGGTTTATAAGCTCCGGATCCCCCCCCTCCCGCTTTGGCGTTTGGAGGTCTTTGCACAGCATCAGACACATGCAGCAAACAGTGGCATCTCCAGTGCTCACCCAGGAGGGTCCCACAGCGCCAGTGCGCCTCACCATCATGAGGTCCTTCTTCATGCTGCTGCTCTCCCTTTTACTGGTGTCCCATGGATCCTCAGCAGTTATAACAGGGGTAAGTGGAGGTACAGGACTTTATCTATCACTGTTCATTAGAACTTCTACAATTGTACGGGCTTTTTTTTTCATTTTGTTTAGTTGAAGTTACAATTTGATTTTGTTTTTAATATAATTAGTGCTTAAAATTCACAGTACGAAATCTGTACAAAATATAAAATAGCCTAATATTATGTGCATGTTATCAAAAAGTCATTTATTTATTATTATTTTATTTTTGTATTAAGGAATGAAATAGCCCCCTTTTCAGACAAAGCTCTTTCTCAGTCTGACTAAACATTGCAAGCATAAAATAACTTTACATGACGTCTGATCTCACAGACTTTTCATATTCTGTCATTTAAGACCACATCTTGTAAAATATGTCAGCTGCACTTTCAATAAGAATGAAACCTCGGACACTTTTAAACATTTTACAAACATTTGCATTGCACTCACATTCATTTTTTTTTCTGTCCAAATCCTCACAGACAATTGTCATCACTGTGTCAAGCTGCCATTGAACATGAAAGTATTTCATTTGTATCTGTCATGACATACTGCGGTTCTTCACGAGTTAATCAAAGCTGACACTGCAACCCTCTACCTAAAAGAGTTTTTGACTATTTATTTGACTATATTTTGCCTTTATTAGTTGATATGTATTATTGTTGTAGCACAGAATATCCCAACAAAATCAACATGGTACAATGAAAAATCCAAACAAAAAAACAAACAAGTAAAAAAATAATGTTCATCTCCTCATATGATTTTTTTTTTTTTTTTTTTTTTGAGCTCCCACACTAATGTGAATTGCTTATAATTATTATTTTGAATTGCAATTACTGAAATTTAAAACGGACCCAGAAAGAATACCTGAGCAGTACGTTGCAGATGCTATTGAGGATCTACAATAATAAAATAATAAGACACAACTGCATTTGGCAATCAGAACTTCTACATTTATTCAATATCATCATTGGTTGAGCGGTCAGATCTACTGACACAATGTGATTCCACCTTCTACAGATCAATGCTGTTATTGTGTCCTTGGGCAATTGGTCCTCAATGCTGTTATTATGTCACTGGTATATGAATATGTGTGTGTATGGGTCAGTGGTTCTTTGATGTAAAACACTTTGAAAAAGTGCTCTATAAAATGTGACCATTTATCATTTAGCACAGCATGTAATGTTGCTGTTTCAGTAGAATTGCAGCTGTAAACTTGGTAAATATTTCACATGCAAAATAATTGACTGTGATGTGTTGCAGGCCTGTGAGAAGGACTCCCAGTGCGGAGGGGGCATGTGCTGTGCAGTGAGCTTGTGGATCCGCAGCCTCCGCATGTGCACCTCTATGGGCCAGGAGGGAGATGAGTGCCATCCTCTGAGCCATAAAGTCAGACCAATCAGCAATATATCATGTTTTTGTTCATACAATTTCATGCAAAAACTGAATTTGGATATTTTTGTCTTGCAGATTCCATACTTGGGTAAAAGACTGCACCACACTTGCCCCTGTCTGCCCAACCTGGCGTGCATCACTATAGAGGAGGGGAAATCTAAATGTTTGTCACCATATAATTACCCAGACTACTACCTCTGACAATGAATTACAAAGTATTTTAATTAAATATGAGTGAACATGACTCAAAAAAGTATTAGGAATTTGAAAATAAATGTCAGCAAATTGTACTAAATATTGACAACTTTTTCATGAATTTTCACAGATTCAATGTACAAAAGAACAATGTGGCAATTGAAAGAGTAAAAGAGTGCTTAAATTTAATTTTTTTGCTATGACCTTACAGTGTTCAGCAAAATGTTACCTTGAAATGTTTAATAAATATTTTTTCTTCAAAATGTGTTAAATTGAATCTATTGAATGGTTCCTGTGTGAGCAAGGTTGCTTCATTGTGAAGTGTGACCTTTAACTAATTGGAAACACCTACATTTTGGATTAGACAACTGTTTCTAAATCTGGATGCACACTGTATTCACTCAGTGATTCACTGAGTGAATACAGTGTGCATCCAGATTTAGTTCGATAAAGGTTATTGTCACATATGTCCTCTTCGCAGATGATACCACCCTCTACTGCTCAGGTGAAGACCAAAGGCAGCTTTTTCAAATGGTGGAGAGGGAGCTGCAGAAAATAAAAGTCTGGTTTGTTATAAATAAATTATCGCTAAACATAAAAAAACTAAATTTATTATATTTGCAAAGCAAAAAGTACAAAATCATGTACAAATGATGTTCAATAATACACCACTAGAAAGAGCCTTTGAAAATAATTTTTTAGGAGTAACTAGATCATAATTTAAACTGGAAATACCTGCAGTTGTGTTTTCTTTCATTTGCACATGTTTATCTCACAAACAGAAAACACACCACCTTCTCATATCATGTGGTGAATGAAACAAAACACAATTCCAGGTATGCTTTTGAGGCGGTGACAACTTTCTGGGTCACACATGCCATTTTTTGCATAATATAGATCTTTAAAAATGCATTTATTGCCCTATTCTATTCTATCTTTTTAAGAATTTGAAAACTACCATTTAGTCTATGGGAGAGTTTGGATATGAGATTCCTATAACATGACACATGCATATTTGTTATGCTTCTCTCCTATAAATCTATTCACAAATGTACAGTATATTTCACCAGCAGGGATGATTCTTCTTCCCTCTTACGTGTCCTTCTCAGTCTGCAGCTGTTCAGATAGACAGTCTCTTAAAGCATTTTAATTGCCTTTTAATTTCAAGGGCACACAGGTCCTTTGTCACATTCACCTTCACAACACGTGGAGAGTCCGGACACTGAAGGCATCCATCACTGTCAGCTGTGTGCTTCAGAGCCCAAAGCAATAATGAGATGTGTCCAGTGAAAAGGAGGACTGATCCATCTGCTTCACTCACACAGCTCCACAGCTCCACACAGGCTCATGTAGGACCAGTCAGGGGACAGGTAACCAAGATCTTGAAGAGTAAAACATATAATAAACAATATCACACCTACCATTTTACTTTGTTTTACTTTTTTGGTATAATCCCTCCATGATTAAAAAAAAAAAATCAATGACTAGGAATTCAGGATCAGAATTCTGGATAAATTAGGAATGCCACAATGTTAGATCAATGGAGAGGCTTAAGAAGGTGGCTGAAACTGTTTTTCTCCATCTACTGAGGGGAAATGCAGTCACATCTTTCTGCTAAGTGGCTGTTAGTGTTAATTAGTGTAATTAACTTGATGATGTTTCATATTATTGCAGAAGATATTTTGGAAAAAGACAACAACAATGTTATTTAACTGTTTTGGTTTATTTGCTCAGTACAAAAGCACCAATTTACATTTCCAAGGTTGCATTAGCCATGCAACTTTGGAGTATGCTGGCCATTTAAAGTTGGTGTCTGTTAAAATACAGAAATAATATACAATGAAAAAATATCAATGTAGATACTGTAATACTGAATAGAATAATTTTGTGTCAAGAGTGGGACATGGCATGGTACTTTGAGGCATAATAATAATAATGCTATTGGTGGCCTTTGTTGGCACTGAAATAGTAAAACCATTGAATGAACTAAGAGAATACATTATGTCATTATGTTAATAGCACAAACATGAAACACTAGGAGCAACATTTGTTGCATTGAACTATTAATTGCTAAAATAATACACCACATGACCTGTAAGCCTACTGTACAATACATAGTAATGCCCCTTTAAAATCTGTTTTATAAATAATCTCCAATGCTTATGTAATCATTGATGCAAAGTCCTAAAAGTTTTCAGATGAAATGCATTATGGTTGCATATAATGCCAAAACAATATGCATCACATTTTGCCATGTCCTACACTTGAATTGTTAGGAGGTGCATGCAGAGAACCTTATCCCTCAAAATCACATTAACACTGGAAATTATGGATTTATAGCTGTTTAATTAATATAAATGTACAGATTATAAATAAACTCAAATTCAACCTCCAGAATCTCAGCATGTAAAGTCAGTATTAATACATTCAGAGAGGAGTGTTTGACCAACCTCCATCTATTGTTAGGACCTGACAGTTAAGATCTCTGTATGTCATGTCTTCATGTCAGGTCAGTTATCTTTAGGACTGTATCATTTTACAGAATAACTATTGGGAAAGTATTTTGATTGTTGTATGATTATTTTGAGATTATTATTGGAGGATTCAGTCGAATGCATAAATTTGATCAAATGCCAAGTGTGGAAATGAAATAGGACTCATAAACTGTTTGATCTGCGTGTGCATGGATGCGTCTGTAAACATTATAATGACACACAACTAGAGAGTGAGTGGCATTAGTGGCTGGTTCAGATGGCATAGTATGGCTCCATGGGGGTCGGCGAGGCCAAGCAGCAGGGGAGGCAGGCTTGGAGGGCTCTCCTCAGCTCTCTGTTGAACATAAAACTTATGATGGGGGTGGCCCCAGCCTGAGCAAAGCTCATCCACACTGCTGCTGCGAGGTACAGGGGTGGCACTGACGCACCCTTCACAAATATCCTCAGGAAACAGGCACTGATGTAGGGTGCCCACATGAGCAAGAACGTCAGAGTAATCATGTAATACATCCTGCCAATGCGCTTTTCCATCTTGAACTCATCCAGTACCAGCAGTCTCCTGCTGGTCTGGTGTGTGGCCTGTCTGATGCCCACCAAAGTGGGTGGGGTGGGGCCACGACCAAATCCTGCGATCCAGTTGGCCGCCGCCTGGCCCGTCGCCCCGGGGCCATGAAAGGTCCAGTTCTGGCTGATGGCCGGGACCAGCTGGGCCGGCTTCATTTTTCGGTGGTCGTAGACAAAACAGAGCATCTTCACATACACCACATGAGTGGTGCCCACAATGACAGCCAGCATCAGCATGAACCCCAGCGTGTCATTGGCCTTAAGGTAGCGGTGCTCAAAAGTGCACTGCTCCTCCTCGCGGATGAACTTGTATGTGCCCACATCGAACACGGGAGGAAATGCCATGGCCACCGACAGAGTCCATACCATGCAAATGACCGCCACACACGTGCACAGGTTCATGCGCTTAGAGTAAAAGCGATGGTGCGCAATGGCCATATAACGTGTGACGCTGACGCAGAAGAGGAGGAAGGCGACGTGAAAACAGAAAAGCACAGAGGCAAATGCCACCAGTTTACAGCTGAGCACTGTGTAGGGCCACGAGCCACCGCTGCCGATGGAGGCCATGACGAAAGGGAAGCACATGATGGAGCGCAGCACGTCAGAAACACACAGGTCCAGCAGGAAATAGTAGGGAGCCCGGTGCAGGGAGCTGTCCTTCAGTAGCAGTGCGCACAGAGCCATGTTGCCCAGTAGGCTCACAGCCGTGATCAGACCGAGAGACACCAGCTTTACCGCGGGTACGGCAGAGGCGTAGCTCTGGAAGGACGCACTGCTCTCCGCGAACTCGCTTGAATTTGCCATCGACGCAGCGTCACAGACTATTCCCAAATCAAGTCACTGTCGAACACCGACAGCAGCTCACTCACACCATTCAACAGTAATCCCATCAACACGCGTCCACCGGTGGTTAAAATGAATCAAATTCATTATGCCTTTCTTGCGTTTCTTCTTATCCTTCATCATCACCAGCGCACAAACCGAATAACCACGCAGCCGCGTGTCCTATCCTCCAGTGAACCTGCCGTATTTGCCACAATCCAGACAGCTGGTCTATACAGCCCAGCAAAACACATCTCAGTTCTCTTCGAGCTGTGCTCCTCAGGTTAATCCAAGATGCACCGCGTCACGGGCGGAGATTATGTGCGTTTTAGTGGCGCATAAACGATAGCGCTGCGGTGATGGAGCCCACAAACATGTTTGCACAGAACGGTGCGGAGGCGGCGGCTCGCAGAGGTGGCGGCAGCTTAAAGCATATGCGACGCACGTCCGCTCGCTCGCACTGAGCAGGCCTGGGACCAGGCATGTAGTCGCAGACAGATGTACCTCTCCTCTCACACTGCGAGGAATGGAAGTCTTCCATGAAACACACTTAAATTAACAGTGGCTTTTATATACGCTTCTGCGTGTAAGCCGTGAGAGGCTCTTAAAGTTTGCTTCATCTTGACATAGGCTAAAGTAAAGCATGACTTCTTGAAGAGCCAGTGACTGCTCTTAAGAGAATGTGATAAGTTGAACGAGACGCCCTGGCCTACTGACTCTGTAAGTGGATCAGTAGAACCAGGTATTTAATCCCGCTCAGGTAAAACAGCGAGTCTCAGACGCACTTAACGAGTCTGCATTGCTGAGTGGACAGTTCATACAAGGACAACCTGTCTGGTCCATCAGGGTGAGCTAGAATGTGTGGGGTCTGAAATAGGCTACATTATTTTTATAGTTTATAGGCCGATTGATCTAGCCTACTATAAAACAGGCAACTTGCCTACTCTGTCAACTAAGCAACTAAACAACCTTTAACAGACCAGCCTCCAGGCTGTACGCGTCAATTAAACTTTCCGGCTGATGACAAAAATGATATAACCTATATATGTTTTTTCTTCCCCAAAAAACATCCAGTAGCGTATTCATTCTAACATCTTGGATTTCACTTTCCTCCTCTGTGAGAGAGACTGGAACATTTATAGTGGTTTAACAGCGCCCCCTGCTGCATGTTCCAGTTTCACAGGGACGAGAGGAAAAACAGTAAAACAAAAACAACAAGAAATTGTTTCAATTTGAATGTCATCGTGGATGAATGGATAGGCAGGTGCAGGATGTGGGCTACAGCTAACAGTTTTTTACTCAATTGGCCTTTTTCCATAGTCTATATGCCAAGGGCTAAATCAGTGATAGACCCACAAACAACAGGCACTAAACCAAAGACTTGCTTTGTTTGAACAATATTATTTGTGGTTAGGATAGCGATGGATTTATTGTACTTTCATAGCCTAAGCAGGCAGTCAAACAAAAATTAGGCTACTTCTAATTAAGGGCATGACATCAGGTTATTCCAGTAGGTCATAAACTATGTGGGCTAATGTAAACTTGGAGTTTTCTCACATTTTTCTGTCTTTGTGACTTGCAACCAAACTCCCAACAGAGTGATACCTCACATTTTTCTCCATTCTCTGAAAAGGACCAACTGCGACGTTTCAGCCCAGTGACGCCAGAACGTCATCATCCTGTAGGCGGAAAAGCGGTAGTGCTATAAGTGCCCCAAAAGCCAAACCGGCTGTTTTTATTCGCGACTTTAAGCACAGGTGGTCTCATATAGTAAAGTAAGTCTTTGCTGGTGTGAGGAATGGCGCTTCCTGCGGGTCAGACAGAGCTGCAAATGGACAGAGGCGCCCTGAGCGGACAGACAGTTCCCTCTGAAAACAACATAGACATCGACGAGAAAGAGTTGGATAATATCACAAAGAAACACCGAGAAGACGATACGACGCTGCCTTTGCATTCGCCATGGACATTTTGGCTAGACAGGTAACAAGCCCTTTGCATGGCTTCCGTATTATTGGAGTATCACTTGGAAAGAGCGCAGTAGATCGGCTCGAATGTCTTTGATGGCCACCGCTTTTACGCAGGCCTCCAAAGCAAATATAGCGGGAGAGAGTTTGCCTTCATTCACTTTCCCTGGACCACCTCCTCTTCGACAACACACACCGTCTTTATCGTAACTGTGTTGTAATAAAGGGTCATTACCCCTTCGTAACAGAGTGTTTGGCTTGTAGTTCTCGACTTGAATCAAGCTATTCAAACAGAACACCCAGCAGGGGAGGCAAAGCGAAAACCGACACTGGAAATCCGTACTTAAGGTGAACGGATAGCCAGCATAACACAACAGAGACTGCCTATAAACAGCAGATCCGGCTTACAGTCATTCAGGAGCTAAACATCTCCTACTACTTGACATGACGCGATGGAGTAAACAGCTGGGACTGGTCAGCGTGGCTCACTATATATATATATATATATATATATATATATATATATATATATATACACACACACACACACACACACACACATACTCACCCATCAACATAAGTGTTTATATTTATTTTATAAGACATATAAACAAAACTGTATACAAGAGTAGGCTACATTTCATCTCTGCTTTACAAATAGGCCTGTATACATTCCAGTCCAACAACTTTGTTAATCATTGGCCTAATTATACTTATTCTTACACTATTGCAGATTTTATAATGACACATTTTGTATAGTGAATGATGAATGTATTGTACTTGTGTTATAGGTCATTACCAGGTACAACGGCAGCTGAATGTGAGTCTAACCTGAAGAAGATCTACACAGTGCAGAGTGTTCAGGTAAGCTCTGGTGCACTCACAGCTCAAGTGCATGACTTGGCTTAGAGCTATTTCCATCACAGAGGTTATGACACTCAGGATGAACAAGCATTTTTGAAGACAGATGAGTGGGAAACATACTACATACGCATACATTGAGTAGTTTACATTAAGTAAATTGAGCAGAGACCTATTATAACATAAAAAGTTCTGGAAAAGTACAATGGCATGTCATTACTCTGCCACAGTATTTCAGGCTGACAGGCTGAACATAGGCCAGTAATGATATCTGGGTCAGGTCAAGAGGGAAAACATGTGCTTATGTAAAAGCACCTAAACTAAGCTTTTGGGACAAAAGTTACCATGCAAGTAGGGCTGAAGCAATGCAATTTGTAAAATATATTTGAAAAGTATGGCATTATTTTTAAAGTGCACATTTAGAGTGCACAGATGTAAATAGCTCTAAAGGCGTTAACATTTGATAGACGACTGAAATTTGAACTGATAAAAGAATACCAGAATACCATGATTTTCAGAACATGTTCAAAAGGTACAACAAGATTTAAAAAAAAACAATAAATGCAGCCTATGCGTTTTGATAACTGTGCCAACTTAAATTGCAACTATTACAGTGCCTCAGCAAAGCAGTGGCTCACATAAAAAAAACTACACTTTAAAACACTTTACCCTTAGTATGTTTTTTTAACATCCCATATGACAAGAATTGATGCATCGTGAAAGGATGTGAATGACTCGCCTTGTCTCTGTTTGTAACTAACTAGCCTTTTTTTGGATAGTACTAGGGTTATCAGAAGTATTGAAAATTAGATACTACTTGATACTGAAGCTAGTGTTGCTTATTTGAGCAAGTATCAATACTGAAAAAGTCACATTCACAGGACCAAAATGAACCTTTCCTGAATAGATTTAGAATGATCTAGAATTGTATCAAAACAAGTATAAGATGACATAGACTGGTATTTGTCCATGGACCACTACAGAACCTACCTGTCTGACTGAGGGATTACGCAGATATAAGGCCGCATGGTAATATAAAAGAAAGTACTATGATTTAATGCTGACAGTCACATTCTGTTGACTAAACTGTATTTTTATTATCATCATGGTATCAGAATCTGTATTGAGTATCAAGCCTATGAGTATTCTTTCATATGGAAATTGAGTTTGAAATTTTATTATCATGACAAGACTACATAGTACCTGATACAGAAGAAGTCTGATCCCCTCGGCCGTTACGTTCTTGAACAAAAGACCCACTAAATGTATTGTAATGTCGATTATAATGTGCCTGTGTTGTTGTGTTGTTGTCTGTCTGTATATGTCAAAGGAACCCTGTGTTTGTGTAAAAAGATTTTTCTCTTGGGGATAATAAAGGTCTAAAGTCTAGTGTAAAAGTTATTTATATATTTGCTTGACTTTGCAGATGTTTTGGAGTGTATACAACAACATTCCCCCTGTGACAGCATTGCCTTTGAGATGTAGCTATCACTTAATGAGAGGGGAAAGGAGGCCACTGTGGTAAGTTCAGCTGAGGTTACAATATTTCTTGTCTTGTGTTTTGTGTTTTAATTTTTGCCTGTAACAATGATATTTGTTTTCAGGGAGGAAGAAAGCAACGCAAAAGGAGGAGTGTGGAAGATGAAAGTACCAAAAGAAAGCACTGTAGGTGTTTAGGATCTTAAACATTAAGCCATGTCATGGAAGGTAAATGTGTATGTGGTGATACAAACAGAGTTACCATAAAAACAAGCATTGTTCTTTGGTCTTTTCCAGTTGACTGTATGGAAAGAGTTGTTACTAGCGACAATTGGGGAGCAGTTTGCAGATTATTGCGCCTCAGGTGAGCTATTAGCTATGGTTGGTCTGTTTACTGTTTCCTTCATCTTACTACATCTTGAAGGTGCACTGTGTAACATTTCTAGTGAAGGGTCTGCCACCTGCCTGTCTCCATGGAAATGTTACTCTTTTGTCTAGAATGTTCCACAGTATAGATTAAACCTGTCTATCTATCATAAGGGAGACAAGCAGGTTCCAGTACTTCACAACATTACAGTTCAAATCTGTGGTGAGTCGCCCCTATTCATAGAATGAATTATTGGATTTTTGAGCAATAGAAACACTTAAAATGAATATATGCTAGACATATATGTTTAATGTCATACTATGGAACATGCCAGGAACAGAAATAATATCTTCATGGAGAAGATGGTAGCGAACCCTCCACCAGAAAATATATGAATATTGAATGAAAAGTGATAGAATATGTTCCATATGCCTGAAATGCATTTTCTGATACAGCTTCTAGTTTTTTAATGTTTAGTTTGGATTATATCACATATACACTTGTTTAAATATGTATTCATGCATTTATGACATTTTTGTGTATCACAAATGCTGATGAAATTGGACATTTTTCTAGAATAGAAAATATTACTCTATTTTCTCATCTATGTTATAATGTTTTCTCCTCATACTTGGAGTTGTGTTTTGTTTCATTCACACATGTTTAACACAAAAATCCTGCATATTTAGGTTGAGTCCTTCACTTAAAGAGAAAGCACTCTGTTCTACCTTGTGATGTGGTAATATAGGAAGTGCTCCACACATTCACTAAAATCATCAATTTCAGCCCTGGAATTGTCAGTATCTGCTAAATATAAGGTAAAAAGTAGCCGTTAACTTGAAATACTTTACTCAATTATTTTTAAGCAATATTGTTTACTGGTGGGCAGTTCACCTCATTGCTTTGCCTGGGTTGTTCCACAGTATTGAATTTAAACTTTAAACAAAAAATTAATAAATTGTCATATCCCTATTGAGCCAGGGTGGTTAGATCTGTGGAGAGGCGATCTTGAAGAAATACAAAAATGTTATTTAAGATAAAGATGTTTTAGTAATAAAACACCTGTAATGCAAGTCATACATGCAAGATAGACATGTTAATTACTGTTCTATAGGACATTCTAGGCAATGTAGTACCTCCATGTCCATGATCCCACCCAGAGTGTGTGTAAACAGGTATGGAAATGTCTAAATTGTATTATAATATGATCTTTCTGTTCTTTCTGTGTTTCTGTAGAGGACGAGGTTGTCGGTGTTAGTGTAAGTGTTCGGGATCGTGAAGATGTTGTACAAGTGTGGAATAAAGATGCTACTCTTGCTAACGAAGCTAATATCCTGGGGAAAGTCTATGAACTCCTGCCATTCATATCTTTTAAAGCTGTTTTTTATAAGTGTAAGTATATTTCCCTTGTATACTAAGTCATATAATGCTGTTGTAATTAGACAGTAACACATTTTCTTAATTTTTTTTTTAAATTTCCAGCTCACATGGAACATCACGCCTTTGAGGGAGGACGCTCAAGACACTAGAACCGTGCACTTTGATTTATTTGAAAGCTGAACTGTTCCTGCCTTTGACGTAAAGACACTGTCCACAACATTGTCAAGGGTATTTTACGTTATTCAAAGAAAAGTTAAAACTATATTTTTATAACTTACTGATGCCTTGCTTCACTAAGGATAATTTAGGTTAACAAAAGTCCAGTTTATGTTAGATCATGTTGTGGTTGACTTCCTTCTAAGTTGAACATAAACTGTTGCTGTCCTGTTCTCAGCACGCCCGATGGACCTCAGTTGTTTCCCGATATAAAGCTAATGGCTATGTAATCTAGCGTACTGTTTCCTGTGTTAGATGTTGCAGTGCAGATCATGGTTTGTTCTTCTGTGCCAAAGCACTTTTTTTTTTATTCTAGCATTCTTTCAGTGTTTCAGTGTGAGGCTGGTTGCCCATCTCTACAGCTATAGTGAATTTCTGTGATGTATGTTCTTATATGTCAACTGTCAACAAATCAGGGTAATGCATTTGCACATAGTTATATTCCGGTCCCTCTAATGGAAAGCCATATTCTAGCACAAACCCTGTATGGACATTAGGACTCCAGAGCTTTACTTAAACCACAGAATTTGTTTTAGAATGTGCCTCTTTTTTGGCCTGAGTACAAACATGTTCGTTTATATTCTTGATTTCTTCATTTTGCCTTTGATCATATGCCTGTTATTTTTGTTATTTTCACACCCTGGCAATGATACAAAATATATTGTCAAGAAATTTGGAGTATAGTGAGAGGAAATCCTTAAAAAATATCTTCATATTTATAACCAGGCCCATTCATACATTTGATATGTTCATCTCTTGGAATATTTGTTTGTAAAGGTTTACTCTATTTTCCAATACTACAATTCCTAATAATGCATATGACATTCAACGAACTGAATGTGTCAGGGACAAAATGCTCATAATACATTTTTAAAATAGATTAAGCAATGACAAATAGTGACACTGAAAAAAATAGATGTATGGACTTAATGTTAACCTTCATACAGGGTATAGTGACCGTTAAATAACAGAAACTACATAACAGTGGTAAAGCGTCGATCATAAGGGTGGCCTGTAGAGGGGGCTGGATTAGAGGGAAATTTTCAAGTTGGATGTGGAATGTCTGTACCTTTAAGTTTAAGTTCACAGTTCATTTATAGTTTAAGTACCTTTACGTTTGGACACTTTCTGTTTGGGCCTTTCAGAATAAAACATAAACTGATATTAACTTTTAGTGGACACAGCCAAATAAAATATTGTTGTAATTTTAATGCAGTTTATTGTTGGTACTTAACTTACTAACTAGAAGCGGCACAGTGGCTGAGTGGCTAGTACTCTTGCTTCAGTTCAAAAAGGTCTCTGCGGGTAGGGCTTCTGTGGAGTTTGCCCTTCCCCACAAACCTGATCCTCTAGTGAGGTAGTCCCACTCATGATCTGGAGATGTTTCTTGGGTTGCTCTGTGGGTGCCCACGGCTCCTGGCAGGTTGCCCCAGTGCACTGAATTAAAAGTTTGATACAGACGACAAGTTCCTTTGGAGGACAATAAAGTATGCTTCACCTTAAGTGTGCACATCTGTTCCAAATGAAAATTTGCACAACTCACTGAAAACTCACAGATTCAAGCACCTACTCAAGTGGCTATTTTTATTTTTTGTGTCCAGTATCCAGGTTCCAGTGTGGGTTGTGGGTTCAGCTGTGTAGTAAAGGGCAAATAAGCACTGCGAGTTAGGCTACTGCTTCAAACAACATTATGTATTGAACCACAAGAGATATATGTTGTTTTGGCATGAAATATCCCAATTGTTATTATACAAGTTCTTCTCTTAATTGTCACCTTAACGGCCTGGATTTGCCTTACTTTTGTTGTCACTACCGTGTAGACTGAACTAGTTAAACTGGATACAATTTAACTTGTTAAACTCAATGACCATGTTTTTGCAGTAACATGATTCAATAAAATGGAAAAGTGTAGTTTTATGGCATGTCTGTGTTTGGTAATTATTTAACCTCTTCTCATGTGACAGATTATAGCTGTCAGTAAAATACCTGCAATCCTAAAAAAAAAGCTGTCAGTAATACAACACGTTAAAGGGCCCATATGATGCTATTTTCTGATCTCTGTTATAATGTAGTTTCCTCATCACAAACAGACCTGGAGTTATGTTTTGTTTCATTCACACATGTTTAACACACAAAGCCTGTATGTTTAGACTGAGTTCTTCTTTTAGACAGAAAACACTTTGTTTCACCTTGTGATGTCATCTGGTAACACAGGAAGTGCTCCACTGTGTTTGTTTGTGTCACTGTTCACTAGAATGTTCACTAGAATAATTTGCGTCATTTCATCCGTGGAATTGTGAATCTACTACTACATGTAAAGGGGAGCTGTTCATTTGAAAACTACCTCCTCATGACATCACAAGGTAGAACAGAGCATTTTGAGCTTTGGAGGTGTAAGCAGACTAATAATAAAGGGTTACTCAAACATGTAAATTAACCCCAGGTATGTTTTTGAAGAGGTAACGACATTATAATATGGCTAAATGCTTAATTTTGTGCAATAAATTAAAAATAAATAAATACATAAATAAAATAGAGACAGAAGAGCACAGTGCATTTGTTGATTGTTGCACTGTATTCTATGGGCATAGTTTTACATCTTCACTGTAGAGAAACATGAATATTATATCCACAGACTAAAACTAATGATATTATTTGGTCTGAGATAACATCAATAGTATATTATAGTAGTAATAATAGTATAGTATGTCATATCAAATGATGCAAGTATACGATCTGAATTCTTGCAAAGAGCATTCAATTAAAAATAATTTACTTAGAAATCATTTCATTTCTGTGTTTAAACGACAGACTCTTATGCACTGACATATCTGTGAAGACTAAACTTCACTTCTGCAATGCACATAAGACAACAGGTTCAAACGTATTACCTGCATTCTTCTGACATAAGCTATGCTTGACTCTTTTCACTTGAACTTAGTGCCATTTCCAAAGTAGATTCCAGGGAAAAAACAAAAAACTGCGAGAAAAACACACTGTGCATGTGGTCTGAAAATAATTACATAATCAGTGGGCTATAAAAATATATCATACCCTACTACTACTACTCCACAAAACTCTACACAAAGCACAATTTGCAGGACCTCCTTGGTGGATGATGAGAAGGAAGACCACCTTGCACTATGTATACTTTTCCTGGTCTCAAGCAGGGTCTGCAGAGCAAGCTTATATATACCAAATAAAAAAGAACTCCTGAGGGTTGTCCACTACTGCTTACCTCAGGTAGAAAACTATATATTTATCAGAGTTGTAGACTTTTATATTTGTTATTATACTGGAGCAGCTCTTTCACACTTGAGATGTGTTTTGAGCTTTTACAGAAGAAAATGTCATTATTCAATGTTGCCACTTCATCTGTCATCTGCATCACCTCTATTCAGGGGAAAACTTCGGCTGTTGCAGTTTACAATCTAAAACAAAATATCTAAAAATTTTGAATAGTGAATAATCCTTAAAATGTTGAGCTCTTGATTGTCATACAAACCACATTTGAACTGTTTCATTTCTGAAACGGTACTTGACTTATATCTTTGTGCTTTTTCTATGACTACATATAGCCACGAGAAGGCGCTGTCTACTAACAAACAAACCTTACTTAAACCTGCGTCAACACCACTCTCGCACCATCCCAGCCGTGATGATAAGCCGAAGTCATTTATAACCAAATGGGATGTGCTTGAGACCTTGATCAAGGACAGAGAGATGGACTCAAAATATTTTCTCTTGAGGTTAAATTAATGTTGCTTTACAATGAGCATTAACTGGACTGTTGAGCCCAAAGCCCTGATCACTCTCATCTTTAGGGGCATGAGGCACATATTTTAATTACTCTCATAATGTTATTGTAGGCCTTGGTCTTATAAAGACCACTCTGTGCAGCAAGGTACGTGATGCGTTCATTTTTGGTATTTTTCTCAAAACCAAAAGTATGCAAATATAGGCCTATCTTCTAAATGCAGTTACATTCTTTGCATAAAAAGTGTAGCCTGTGATATGTGATAATGTGATACTGAAGCCTTATTTGACTACATTTTGATGAAACTAATAATACAGAAGCAGGGCAATAAAAGGTGCTGCTACAATTGCAGCACCTTGCACCGAGGTAGTGTAATTACAGCAACCTTGAAAAAAATAAAATACAAAAGCATAATAATAATAATAATAATAATAATAATAATATAATAATAATAATAATAATAATAATAATAAATTCAGTCATCAATATAATACCCAGAATACATAGCAAATTGTGTGTATCCCATAACATTAATATAGACTAAATAATTGGTTTAATTCATTTTGACTTCTGAAATGAAGTCTTCATGTTTTAAAAGTTTGTAAATTGGGAATACTTATATTACAATTTCAGTACCAGTACTTATAAATATTATACAAAAAGCCCAAGTAAAGCTTGGCCATATTATGAACTTAAATACATTTAAATTACTTTTGACTTTTTGACTTAACTACACTGTTGGAGTTATTCTTGCAGCTATGTTTGAGCTAAAAGCAAACAAGCTTTTGTAAATAGGAGATTGTTTCCTATAAGAGGCAATATCAAGCACCACCCAAATAAAGTTTATAAGAGATAGTTCCTTCTTGTATCCACTTTTTACTTGTTCTCCATGTTGCAAATTTGATGATTACAAATTATGCTATCCAATATAAAATTAAACCCAACCAACCCAACCTAACCATTGCACAAAACTTCTTTTTTTTTTTTTTTCTTTTTGAGTAAGGGAGACTGTAGTTTGGAGATAGAGAAATGAAAAGAAACCAGACCAGACAAAACTGTGAAATATTAGTTCATCGTGGCTCAGTAGTAATTAGTCAGCTTAGACATTTTAGCTTTTCTAGGCAGCCCCCTCTCTCCTGTCACACTTGGAGCTAAAACTAATGCATATCATTACATTTCCCCTGTAGAAAGTGAACCACCAAGTGCTTCTACTATAAGTGAATTGAAGCCTATACTTGCGAGTGTTATTTTCTAAAAACCTGCAAAGCAATGAGCAGGTGGATATGACGTCACGCTTGGAAGATCAAAACAAAAACAACCAAACATCCGCGATTCTTCCCCGGTTTTTTACCTCCTTTCTTTTCTCCGCGTGTTAAAAATCTAATAATAAGGAAGACGACAGAGGCTACCGAAGCTCTCCCTGGGACACGGGCAGGAATCGTGAATTAGACTCCACGCCGGGCTGCTTTTTGGACGGGTAAGCGAATCTCTTCTAGCCTTTGTAGTGAAGTAAAGTTAGTTAGTCCCCCTCCTCCTCTTCTGACCCTCGAGCGGAGGAATATAGCGTTTACGGTTGTGATTGTTGACGCACGCACGCGTTCCCCCCACAGGAGCGCAGTTATCTCGTAATTTAGTCGCTACATCATCGGTACGCTCTGTCCGCCTGTCTGTCTCTAAACTGCTGTAAAGCGTTTTCAACCGGGTAAGTTTCAGCGTTATCGCAACGCTAGCTGCCTCGTATCTAGTTAGCTACCTGCTGCTGCTGTGGCTGTCTCTTCAGCACAGCCGATCCGCACTGTTTTATTTTATTATTACCGCTCTACTATAAGTGTCTAAATGCGTAAAAAAACACCTGATATCTTTACGCATATTCTTACGCATCGCCATGCTTTACTTTCTGCCTGCGACTTGCTTTCTGTAGCCTCAGGGAAAACTTATTAAAGTTGTATAGTTTCTGATTAAAGTAAATTACTGCTAGCTGCCTCAGATTTATAGTTATTCACACGTGACTGGCGGGTAGGGCAGAGAAAGTTATATGTTTTGCGGTGAAAAGTGGAAGCTTTGAGTGCCGTGATTTCTATGGCAAAGTTAGGAGCTCATCCCCACGTGTTAGCTGCACTGCACGCTTGCAAAGTACTCAGAGCGAAAAAAGGAGTTATTCTAGCTCTGAAAAAAATATTTGAAACAGGCAAACTTTGTATTTATTGTATGGAGTAAAAAGAAAAAGTTGATCATTCAGGCTTTACTGCTGATGTTGCGATATGCTGATGAATAAATTCCCTTTCCTAAACCACCATAAAAGTTGTTTTTTGTACAGCAATAGTACTAGCTGTAGAATGTCTACAACCAGGACTCACAAAAGACATTTTTTCAATTGCAAAACAATAGAAATAACTGAAGTTATAAAGTTTCCCATGTAAGTTTACTTTGTCCAGAATATGATCATGCGTTAAGTGCATGAACATACAACCTACGGAAAGTAGTCTACTCCTTTGTACCAATTAATTTGAATACAATTTAATATATGGCATGTATGACATCAAAGAAGTCGTAATAATAAAACTAGTTGTGTATGAAAAGTAATGCACAAATCCAAATGCGTGGATATAACGGTGTAATATGATACTAACAGTTTTACAGTGAATGCGCAGCTGGCATCAGACTTAAAACATGAGAATTTATCAAAGGGAAACTGCAGCTTTAACAGCCATAGCTGGCAGGGCTCCCTCCTTCTTGGTCTTTGGATTAGTCATTGTCTGAGAGAGAAAAAAAGACACTTTTTGTAGGAGAAGTAAAGTAAACAGCCTCCAACAAGCGAACCTTGACAACCCAGATTAAGGAAAACAGTGGAGATCAAACAGGCTGCTGCTGGGCTGTTGTCATGAGCTACACACTATTTGAACAGGCACTGGGCACTGGGCTCACTTATGCACAAATGGACCTTCACAAAGCCTCGGACAGATTTCAAAATACCAACAGAATCTTTATTTCATCTCAACCTTTACACTCCAAACCACACAGTAAACTTTCAAACTTGATATTTGCAGTGATTTTGTACAGTATCCTTTTGTGACTATTGATAAGTAATATTGGCTACATTTTCAACAAGTGCTTTTGTAAAAAGCTACTTTTGGACCAGTGACTGGACTTTCCTTTAGTCTTCTCTGTAGTATCTTTTTGGGTTGCAAAGGGTTAAGAAAGTAATAAGTCAGTCATGCGTTGAGTGAGAGGGGAAGGGGCTGTCGGTGTTTGTGCTCAAATGCACTATTCCGCACACCAAGGGGACTGCTCAGGGAGTCCTCACCCCATTTAATAACAACAAACCTACTTTTAGGGCTGGAATAAAATGTGTGTATTTTGCCTTTTTTTTTTCTCCTTTTTGAGTATTTTATTTTTTTTAGTATTATGGCTGCACTACATAACAACAATATTATTGCAGCCTTGAAAAATTTAAAACAAATTCATTAGCCGCAAGTCTACCATTTAATTCAGAATGAGAAATATTAATTTTCTCATCAATGCAAAGAATAAAATGTAAGCAGAAGTTTAGTTCAGTTTTTAGATTCTCTCTTTAAAATATGATTATGGCCTAATCATAATAAATCATATTGTCAGATTGTTTCAAATTGTCATTGAAACTATTTAGATTCCTTTTGAGTTTTTGTTGTGTATTGGAAAGCTCGTATTTTAAAGTGAGAAGAAGTCTGCATACATTTTTCACCCAGCATTTGATTTCTTATATAAGACATTCTTAAACCCACGCAGGGTCCTTTTTTGCTCAAAGCTCGACAAGTGACAGTTGAATAAAAGGGAATTTTCTAAATGATGCATGTTTGATTCATATGGCACAAAGGAACATGAATGGAGGGCTCTCATTACTGCTGTGCTACATGAATGAAAACTACTGTAAAGGGACATCAGCACAGAGCATAGAGCTCAGGGTTTAGACCTGGACCCAGCTCAGAGGGCTCAAGGTGAGGTGACTTATATGAAGACTGACACACTTGTCAGATCAGTTGTAACTGTGTTCAGACCTTTGAGTACTCTGCAAACTGAATAGATGTTTCTGCGGGGTTTAAATAACAACAAGCCCCAGTTTGTATATTTGAATTTGTTTGTTATTGACTATTAGCTTTTAGTAAAAGCTGGACACTCAATTTTTGTTATGTAATTTATTGATTAGAAAGTTGAATTGTTGATGAATTTGATAAATATTCTCTCTCTTTGTTTTGCTTATAGAAAATGCTCAGACATACAATCTGACAATAGACTTTATGATGACCTTATGTATGGTGTACACAATTGTATAATAGTTGTACATCATTGATGATTTTTTATAATTCAAAATATGTAAAGTAACATTAAAGAGCATTTCAGAAGAAGCAAAAAGCATTTCACAAAGAATTCTTGCAAGCCATGTTGAAAATAAATAAATAATTCAAAAATTTAAATCCAAAATAAAATACATAACTACACTGATTGCAAATATCTGTTGAACATTTTGACAATGACTAGAACACACGAAAGCTTTTGTCTGTTATATACCTGCATAACTCAATTTTGCCCAATTTGTGCCCTTTAGATTTTCCACTATTTGGACCAGTTTTGACAATTATGAAACATCAGACTTTTGCCTCACTAAACCCACAATCTTGGGCCGATACACCCAAGCTGTGTATACGCACCTAACGTTACTTGTATTTTTTGTTCTTAAATGCAGTGCCAGGTTTGCATCTTCTTTATTATTAATACATTAATACCTGCTAAAGTATCTAGTAATTCTAGTTTTAGTATATGGGTATCCTTTCTTAATAACCCTACGCACCATATACAGTAAGATAAGATAAGATAGATAAGATAATCCTTTATTGTCTCCCATGAGAGAAATTTGTCTTGAGACAGGGGGTAACATGCTTTATCAAAAAAAACAGGACAACATAACACAAAGCACCACATAAACAAACACCATAAAACAAAGTAAATATGAGAACAAGTATGACCACGAGTGATGCACCAACACGACCCTTACATTATCCTTAACAGGCAAGCCCTTGCATTCTTCTGTTCTATTAATTATTGCACATTCCCTATGTGCAGTTTTAATTATAATTATTGCACATATATACACTCATATACAGTACTGCAGCCTCATATTCGTATGCTCCCTCCAGTCCTTACACTTTTTCTCCACACAGCTGCTAGTGATGGTATTGATGATAACACTTGTCCTGTCTTCTTCAGGGCATCATGAAGAGGAAGTGATGTGCACAGCTCTGGGAAGACTCTAAAGCCACAAGTGAAAGCCTCTGACGTCACAGCTGTAAGTCATTTGTCTGTGTCTGTGTTTAGACTGCTGCTCTCAAGTCATTCCTCACCAAGGTCACCATCAAGTCCCACTGACTCGTCCCTCTTTTCAGCACTATAGCTAAGACCTGTTTTAATCTCTATGTATTAAAGTTTGATTTTCCATGCAGCCCTTATTTGGTCAATCCAAACTAGGCATGGAATGATATAGAAATTTTGTGTCATGATTATCATGGCCAAAATAATTGTCATTGACAATAATATAACATGCAATTTTAGAGATATCATATAATTATAATCTGAATATTATGAATTTGTTCCATCTTTAAACAACTTTTATAATATTGTACTTTGTTATTAATGAAAATGATAATGATCTAGAAGACAACATTAATGATAAGTTACATTTCTCTTAACATCATGGTGGTGTCATGGGGATTATCACAATTATATAAAATGTCCCACGAACAATCCTCCCAGTCCACCCTTTTTATACCGATAAATAGTATTGTTTGTTGTCCCTAATCCAAAGTATGATATGAATACATTATTATATGGGAAGGAGTGTCATGTTGTATCTAATATGCAAAGTCGGTTTTATTGTAAAGTAACTGGAATGCATAGGTGTCATCTTTTAGGAAGCATATAGGCCCCTATATGAACAGCTCTAGTGGCAGTTCCTCGCCTTAATAACAGCCTAACCACTGAGGTCTGTTCTTCCATCATGGTTGTTGGTGGAAAGTTGTTGCGCTTTGATCACGTCTTTTCAGCATTGCTCCAGCTCAGCCCTGTCCCTCTCTCTCTGTGATAAGCCATCACAGCACAGGCAGGAGACACTTCTGGAGAAGAGCTGAGCGGCAATGCAAATTCTGTGGACACACTCTAACCGTACATTGTCTTTGCCTTTAAATCCAACAGTCATTCTGTTCTTCTGCTGTGATTCTGCAGTTTCAAAATAAAGGTCAGTTATAGGCTAAATGGAAGTAAACTCCTCTGTATTAAATTGAAGTTGGCACAATCACTGTTTAGTGAAGCAGACAGAAGCAATGCTCTATAGTGTGAAAAAAAACAAAGCCAAAAACAAAAGAGCAGCACCAGAGTAATTCACTAAATCACAGGTTAAATAATGTTACTGTACTAATGCATGTTTAAACTGTTTTGGGCTGATTGACACTGACTTACTGTGCTAAATGCTGATTATTTGCTTTCACCTGTGTTGAGGTTATGCGGTTATGGTACTGTAATATGCAATGAAGAGCTGTGTGTCTGCCCTCCACCCTCTGGGTTCATTCTGTCTATAAGCTGGGTCTGGACAGATCTTGTGGATATAGTCAAACAAAGCAGTATAAACACTGGCCTTTATGGACATCATGGCAGTGGAATAGTGCAAGTAGAATAAACAATCAATTCAAAAAAATATACCCTAGAGCAAAACACACCAATTCAAATTTTATCTTGTTTTATTCATTTTTGTTGTAAAAAGTTGTCTCTTGATGATAAATGCTGTTAGGGATGCTGTTGTTCTTCCTTCTTGGTACTTTGTCACCTTCTTTGGCCTCTGGGGATTATTTAAAGCCACAGTAACATTTTAGCCAAAAAATGAACTAAAATAAAAGCATACTTTTATGTTGTTGTTTTTATTGCACTGAAAAACACGTGTCATTATTGTGAACATTTCCACAAACCTGACTCTTAGTTGGCCTAGAGCCACAGGGAGGGCCTCCTCTTGCTTGTCTCCATGGAAATGTTGTTCCCTTGGCTATATTCTTCCACAGTATGGCATTAAACATATCTATGTCCATGGAGAATATTCCATATGTATGATTTTAACATTCTATTTCCATGCAATCATGATGTGCTAACTCCAAAAAGTTACACACTAAACTTTTTAATGTAATCCTGACATTGATACAAAAACAAACAGAAAAAAACTGTTTCAGTGTACAGTTTTAGATGATGGGACAATAACCTGCTTTGTAACTGTGCATTCTATTAAGATATTGAATTGGTAGTATACATGAGCCATTGAACACATCCACTCAGTGACATTGATTCTCACTTTGGAGAATGCTTGCACCATTATGGCGAAGCTCTGCTACACTGAATCTGATATAATTGCAGCTCAAAATACTCAACCGTGCCTTTAAGAACATAATTTAAGGTCCTTCTCCCTTGTTGACTGTTTTCCCTGTCGCCAATTAAAACACTTTTAATTAAAGGTGCATAGTAATTGCCCAAACACGCTGTTCAATTATTGTACCCTCTCTTAAATGCACTTAATGGTTACAAGTTCACTTTGAAGTTGAACGCTGTGTTTTCCCTCAGTCTGTACATAAAAACATCATTTGAACACCCCCAAGATCCCCGTTATAAAAGTGCGCTCCTAATTGACGGGTTGTTGCTTGTTTAGTTGATATATATTTACCAGCCGGGTGGTAATTGGAGAGCTGTAATTACCCAGGATGCAACGCGCCGCTCGAGCCGTAGCCAGGATGAAAGAACGCAGGTTAGTGTAACATTTGTAGCATCAGAAAAGAGCTAATTGAGACTGTTATTTTGTTGTGTGTGAAACCAGAGGCAACACTCTTTTTTATTTTGTCTTTTTCAGCAGTGTCCCCCAGCTGTTCATAAAAGGTTAGTGGATCTGGAGTCCCTTCCGATGATGTAGCTCTGTCGCCTATAATGGCCTTGTTAACTGAGATTCATTACCTCTTCATTCGGAGTCCCCTGGATATTAAGGCAGCGCTCTAAAGCTACTGTCGCGGTGAAGTCATCCTGGTGTGGTTTGCTGAGCTATTCGTCCACTCCTGATGATTCACTTGACCTGGGACTAAAGGCTCGAAGGCAGCGGAGAAAGGATTTGACTTTGTTTGTTGCTGACAGTGGTGGAAAGTAAAGATGTCCTTTTACCTACAGGTGCATTCTGGGACAGAGAGACTGACAGGCAGACAGTATACTTGAATGTGAAGTCTTTTGTTGCTTAGGCAATGGTGTTAAAACTGTTATGAGGGACTTGTCAGCTCCACTAGAGGCAATGGCTGCAGTGGTATTAATTGCACTAATAAAACAGTGGCAGTATTAGAAAGTGTTTTATACTGGTAGTGGCAGTAGTAACTATGGTCTATTGAGTAACAACAGGAGAAATAGTAATGATACCAGTTTTTTTATTACAAGAACTCGTTTTGTGACAGTACTAACATTTGAAACTCACTTGTGATACAAAGGAATACACTAGGATACTGATTCTGATACCACAATGATAATAAAAACACTCTTTATTTAGACACTAGAATGTCATTTTCGACATTAAATCATTAAACCAGATCCATGGACGTATACTAGTCTATGTGGTTTTATACTTGTTCTGATACAGCTCAAGATTGTTCTAAGGACTCAGGATAGGTTAATTTTTGTGCTGTGAATGTGACTTTTTAGTATTGATACATGCTCAAATGAGTATCTAGTTTGGATGCTAGTTTTTGTATCGATTAGTGTCTGATTTTCGATACTTTTGACATCCCTAGTAATTATAATTGTTAAAAAGTTTAAATATTATTTCTGAGCAGTTGTTGTTATGCATAATTGTACATTTAAAACAGCCGTTGTTAATGGGCTTGATCTCTCAGTCTCTTCTGTCTGCAGTAGTTTCACCTGTGTGTTTGTGTGTGATAACCAGAGCTCCCAGAAGATTCTTGTTGTTGTTTGTCGGCGTGGGCCGTGACTTGCATCTGGCCGAGCGCTCCTTGGAGGGAGTTTGTTTTTCTGCCGACTCGTGTAAACAGGGTGGGGCTCCACTCCCAAACCACTCACTTGGAGATGATTATTTTCACAGGACTTGTTTTCTGTTGATTGTTTGAGTCAATAGATTAGCACAGACTGGAATTATATGTTGGAGCAGATAGTAGCTAACCATTGTATGTGCCAACTGGATAAACACTTGCACAGTGCATGGGGAAACTGAAATCCTAGCATTTATGTTATTTAGTTTTACCTTCAATGTATGACATGATGAAGCTTGTCGCCAGACTGCACTGATGTTTTCAGAAGTGTGCCAGTTTTAAGCTTAGATTATGTTGGTTCACTTGTGAAGAACAGTGTGTAAAAACAAACAATATGGAATCAAGAAGCCAACCAACTATGCCTCATTAATAACTATCTTGAACTGTATTAATAATGTTTCAATTAATAAGTTAAAAACAGTAGTATTCCTCGCTTGTTCTTACTGCAAATTTTTGTAGTATCACACCTTTTATGATGCTACAATGGTCACCCAGCTCTTGCGATTTGCACATTTACACCTGTTAATAAAAGTGTACAAGAAGAACAACAACAGAATAATATTTGGCCTTGAACTTGGCCTAGTATAACTTAGGAGTGTAATATTTATGATTGGACTATTACTATTAAAACATTGTGTCCATCTGGTCTGGAGACAGAGAAAAGGTTTGCTTGTGTTTCTAAATGGTAAACATTGCCCAGCTGTTGCTGTTATGTAAGTGAAACTGGTGTCATAAAGAGTCTTTAGTGGTGCATGTTGTTGTCGTTCTGCTTCTGTTAACCATTGACTGTTTACTGTGAATGGTACTTTGTCGTCAATGCAGTGCACCTGTTGTAAAAAGCTCTGATAATGCTTCATTTGAATGATCATCTGTTGGGAGTTATTGCTTATTTTTCTAAAAGCTTTTTCATGTTGTGTATTATGATGAGCATGCTTTAATATGATGGCTAATCGCTTCCTCACAGTGAGAATGTCTCACATTGACTAAATCAATCCTTTCATATACAGAAGGGAGCTGGCCTCGGCTTTGAGTGCATTTCTGTGTACTTCATATACGCTCTGATGCGCTCTGATTGAGGGGCTAATTCAGAGAATTTTAATCAGTCTGACCAGCCCTCTTGCAGTGTCATCTTTTTGCAAATGCCCCATAAAATGAATAGATGAGCAGTCTTTTTTTAGAGCATAATGGCTACATTAGAATGGGAGATGGATGGCAGATGAAAATCCTGTATCGTTTCCACTCTTTTCCTCTCTTTTAGTGACTCTGATCTTTTATCAATAGTGGTCCAGGGCACAGTGAAGTGTTCAGTTAAACCTGATGGAGTCCCAGCAATGGAAAAGGTGACGACCATTTAAGTAAACTGGTAACTGCTGCAATATCCATTTTTACTGAAGCAGTTGAGATGAAGTATGGTTTTATGCAACCAAACTATTAGATTTATACTGGTGATTCTTCTCTTTTATTAACTGTAAATCCACGCTACTCTCAGGCCTAACGTAACAACCCATTTCAACAAATGAGATAATGCCATTTGGGAGCAACCTGAGTCTCTATAATATGTAAACAATTGAACAGACAGTTGCTCATATTCTTTCACTGCGAGGCTGGTGATTCATGCTAGTACACACCTGTATGACACGTATGACGGGTAAATCATTTACTCTGTACATACACTACCTTGTAGTTTACGGACTATGTGAATACTGAAGCAACAAGTTTATCTAGACTTTGGACTGTAAACAGGAATTTACACAACTGGTTTTACTACAAACAAGTTAATTATACACCTATAACCTTTTGTAAATGGTTTCACTGTTTAGTTTTTAAAACCTTTAATGGAAAAGAAGTCCTTCGGGATACATCATACAAAAAGTAGGATCAAATGAACAAAACCATAGTAATACAACCCTTTTCCCAGATAATTTCCACCTGCATCTTTGCTCTGATTTACCCATCTTCAGACATTGTGCATCCAAGGCTATTTCTATGTCGTACCTAAAAGACATATTACATTCATCAGTTTGTCTTAGCTTAAACCTGTTTTTGGCTGTTCCTGGTTGGAAACATGCCAGTTGAATTTTCTGATTCTATCTTCTTCTTCTTCAGAATGGGTAATATCACTACTCACTATGTAGGCCTAAGGCCCAGTCTCTTTCTCCAGTCCTTTTACATCACTCTGATAATTAGCAAGCCCAACCATCCCCACCTATAAACATAATTGAAGAGTTGACATTATAATTGCAATGTGTTCATTGTCTGTTTATTGTGTTGGAGTGATGCACAATGCTGTGATTTATTTGGTGTAAATAGGCTGAGAACTAGACTTGGTGTGATTTGATGTAGTTACGATGTCAATAACAACTTTCACAACCTCCTGAAACCAGGCACTTTTAATATTGTCATAACAATGGTAAACATTTATTAACTAAACAAGCAGTATTGTCATGGCAATGGTACATGCAAGTTAAGTAAATGATGCAATCCCTGCCTTTCACAAGATGTGTGCCAGCTTTAATTAAGTTGTATCCATATGGTGTTCTTTGAATAAAGACTAAAGTTATACTTTGCAACCTTCACTGAATTCACCTGCCAGTTTGCTGCACCTCATGGGGCAAATTGTAATATAGGCTTCCTTACAGGTCGTAAACTTCTTCTAATTTACTTTCTATAATCCAAAATTGCATTTTTGACTTTTGTGGCTATGGTCATTCAGGCCATGTGTCCCCCGACCCTTATAGTCCTAGGAATCTACAAATGTCCTTTCTCTCCTGCATCTGTCTTGGTTGTGGAGAAGTGTCACATGCACATAACCACCATTGTACCAGCACAACATGGAGACACAGAGCAGGGAAAACAAAGCACAAACAACACAGATTATGCAAATGTGCTTGTAGGGTGTCCCAGTATTGATAAGCGACATTTGTGTACAAAACAGCATGATCCACAAATACTGTATGTGCTCAGTGAGTGTACTCCCACAGATCATTATGACACATTTGCTGTGGAGTTGTGACATAGACTTGAGAGGGTTAACTCTGCTGTTAGCTCATATAAGATGCCAAATGTTTGGGGCGAACTTTTAGTCATTGTAGTGGAAGTGGGGTCAAACAGCCATAAGGTGAAAGGTTGCGCAGAAAAGAAGTAGCTAATTGGATATGAGCATTGAGATGTATCGCTTATTGCTGTTGTGGCAAATGCAAGTGAGACATTTTTCCTCCATGAAATATGAAATCTCATCCCAGTGTTTGGCTTTTTCTCCAAGTCACCTTGTAATTGTTTCTGTGCCATAAGCAGCTATTAGTATTGCTAGAAAATGGTAATGCTTTGAGAGACTCATCTTTCCCTGAGAATGGCTCTCGATCACACTCTCACATTCTTTTAAAAGGGAAAAGGAAGATGAATTTTGCCCATAAAGGCTGCATCACAAGGGCTTTTTATCCTAAATGGCTCTGGGGATTGTTATCTGTGGGAAGTGTGTCCTGCCTGCGTCGTGTTCAATCAAGTGTCCACTTAGCTGTGACTGGGAGTAATTGTTCCCAAGTGGGCCGCACACTGACCTGTTAATGTCTGCGCTGACCCTCTAACCTTGTCAGCACGTCTTGGGGAGGAGTTTAAATCATGTGGATCTCCTCTGCGTCTTTACACTACCGGGTCAAGTGGGCGTCGGGTCGGGCTCTGAAAGACCACTCTGTTGTAATTGTCCCCAGTAGCATGGGTCAGCTCGGGGTGGTCCACAGACGCAGCTCAGATTAGATGAGGAAGAAGGAATAGTCCACCTAATGGGCCAGACCATTGATCCAATACAGAACCAATGGCTCTAAGTGGTGCCGCTCCATGGTCCTCCTCAACTCTGGCTGGACTCAGTGTGGAGAGCTGATCACTAAAGTGTCCTAAAATAGCATATATTGGTGGTCTCCATATTTTGCATAGTGTCTTGTAGTGAAGTGCCAAAATAAAAAGAGAAAAACTGTGAAAAAACATTAGAAATCAACAGAAAATTTGAAGTCTCTTTTTGCTCTTGCTTGTTTAATCCAAAATAAGATATTTATATTCCTGCTGCTTATTTTAGTGCAACATATAAACATACAGCTTTATATACTTATACTATATACTTATGTACTTATAACATGAGGTTGGATGTTGTGGTCTATCAGATGTGGTGTGTGACAGCTTTAAGGCCAGTGTGAGCACAGATTTAGTGACTGACACAAGTTTGACACTCCAATTAAACAGGAGCCCATGTCCCTGAAGGCACAGTGCATATAACCTACAGGCTGCTGTGACCGGCAGTGACCACTCTGCAATTCTTATTTACTTAGTGTGAAGTGTGTAGAAGGTAGAATCTGTACACACTAGTTTATTTAGTTACTTTTGAATGCTTCTAATAAAAATAATAATTCAATTCAATAATAATTACGCTTGCCATATGCTTTGCAAGCTCTCAAAGAGCTACACCATTTAGCCTATCACAAGTTTGATACATTGCTGAAGAAAATATCAACGTTAAACGATAATATTGAAACAAATTTATGCCACTGACACAGTAACCCTTAGGTAGAATGTTCCCCAAAGAAAGAAATAATGTTCTGTTAATATTAACAGAAAAATAACAAAAAGTTCCCCACAAAGGAAAAAGTCCCTATTATAAATATGGTATAATACTGCATTTATACTGGGGGAGGTGAGTTTCCTCAGCTCTATTTATTGGCTTTGAAAATAGAAGCTAAAGGCAAAACTCCTTAAAAAAAAACAAAAACAAAACTATAAATAAATAAAAAAAAAAAATAAAAATAAAAATCAATTATATATATATATATATATATATATATATATATATATATATATATATATATATATATATATATATATATATATATAAATAGATATGTAAGTTAATTACAAGTTTCAAATTGTAATATCAAAATGTAACACATCAGATTCTGCTTTTGTCAGCTTTGTTTTATCTTTTATCTCTGGAATGCATTTATGGGTATCTTTTGCTTTGTATTTAGTGTTTCGTTTCATGAGTAGATTGTGAGAAACAAGTGGGATGAATGAATGATGAATGAAAATGTATATTCACAACTAAGTCATTTACATCCTAAGAGTAAATTTATACTTAGAGGTATAAGTTTGCTCACGTTTTCTGTTGTAATTTTTGAACTTGGGGCTCAGGAGGCAGACCAGGTGCTTTCCCCACCTTTCTCTTCCTGTTTGTAATCGTACTTTTCCCCTTCCTTCCCTCTCTGTTGGTTTGCGTTCTAGGTCTGTGGCCTCTCTGAAACCCTGCTGGCCACACCCTCAGGACTACAAGCTGAAGTCTGATTGGAGGAATGGAGCAGCGGCCCGTCCTGCATCAGTGATCAGGGTATGTAGCATTTCTTTCACACACTCATTTGTCTGCTCCCTGCCTAGTACTGAAACACACTCAATTAGAATCTTCGAATGGTCTTATCACTCATGAGTCATTTTGGTAATCTAAATTACCCCAGTATAGTATATTCATTCGAAATTTTGAGTAATTTCTATTGAGGTATTACAACAGTTCTCAGGTGTTGCAATGTAGCATGTGACTCTTTTATGGGGTGCTGGAGCCTCTATTCCTGTATTGACTATATTCAGTCTATGTTAAGAGTTATTGGAGTGTTGGCCTTCCATATTACAACAATTGAAGATACACTATATCAAATTGCACAATGTCTTTGTACTGCTCTCAAAAATCAGTTTAAAATGAAATATAGACAAAATATAAAATCAACAGCCAACTAGCTTGCCAAAGGTGATATGTTTTTAGTCGGGGCGTGCAGAAAATAATGAAATACTGGTTTATTGTTATACTAAATTTGGTGATACAGTATCAGTATTGTGGGATGCTATATCAGAGAATTTTTTGGTATATTTTACTAAATTATTTTATGACAGTTCTACCATTTTATTGCTTGTTTAGAGAAAGGAAACTTGGTTATGCCATACATTTAACATATTCACTGTTCTGATCATTAGAAAAGGTTGTGTTTCATATTAACTTTGCACAGGTAGTGGTTGACCAAAGACTACTATCACAGCCGTCATGTATAGTCATGTTATGAGCCTTTAGAGCAGTTACACTCCCTTACATTAAGTAAGATGCCAAATGCCTTTGTTTATTTTCTAAACCATGTCAAATTGTTTTGAAATATAACATATTAAATTGTATCAAATTGAAAGTCCACTGTATGAAGAAATTTATTGTATCATTGGAAACCTCTTGATGATGATGGTTTAAATAAAAAAAAATGCAGTTTCTGTGACGAGTGTGCACTGTCAGCTGGTTACGTCCAAGACCAGTTTAGCTTTAATATCTGCTGTGTGCTGTAGCTCGTCCCCGTGTTCACCTCTGCCTGCTCCCTCTGCCCTGATTGGCTCAATCCTCGGTGCACTGGGCTCTGGCTGTGTGCCAGCCGTGCCCCCTGATCAGAAGAGAATGTGACATTTGTGCAGAGGTAATGGAATCTGCGTGCAATTAAATGTGTTTCTGCGAAGAACAGTCCTTCTCCTGCCTGACGTCCCCAGCAGCGAGGGGGGCATGTATGGTGATGAAGCGGCCCAGCAGGCTCCTGGCTCCTCTGTCTGAATACAATCTCTGTAATCTGTATGTCAGCTTGCGTTTTTAACTTCATAGCAATATCGCTATGGCAATGGCAAAACACAACATGTCCATTAGGAATCCCCCAAACATAAGAAAAAAATAGAAATGTTGTTCATTAAGAAATACATGAGAAAGTGAGAATCCTGTGTTTAGTGAGTGAGGAGCAGATGACCAGGTTATTTTGTGTTGCCATTGTGTTTCTGTGCAGGTCCGTATCTCCATTGCTGGCCTACTTGATACTTGGTGTTTAATCAGTGGGCTTAGTGGTCACTGGCTTGAGTCCGTGTTCTGCAACCATAAAAGGGAGCGTTTCCTCCTGCTGTTAGGGCTCTTCTTGTCTTATAGCGAAGCAGCTATAGGGCAGCCCATATCTAATGGATGGGTGTTCCTCATCACACAGCTCATAAACATTAACTGGAGCCACTGTGTTCAGATGCTTCCTTCAGTGGTCCTTGTTTCTTGTCCTTAATGGTTGCACAGCAACACAGGTCTGGCTGTCTACAGATTCCCTATAAACCCACCTGTCACCATACCTGTGTCTGTACCCTTGAAATCTTTTTGCATCCATCAAAACCTTCTCTAACTTAACCTTTTTTAGTCTCTTTTCAGGGTAAATGTAGCTTTTTTTTTATATGAGACATTAAAGATTATAAGTAAACAATATTTCAGCATACTAACATCCACTTTTTTTTATGCTTTTTTGTATGCACATGTAGTTTTTAAGACAGAGAATATCATGTGTCACTTAAATATGCATAACTTCTCAAAAATGTGTAGTTGTGAGAAGTATTTTACAAAACTGTCTAAACACTAACCCCTGCTAAACACATAATGCCGGTCTTTGTTTGTCCCTCTTGTTCACCTCTTTGCACCAGTGTGGTCCTGAGGCACAGACTGTAGCTGAAGGAGAGAGAAAGAGGCCTGCTCCATTAGTGTCATTCAAATGGTGAATTAGATCAGTCTGACAGATAGATGCGGAAAATTGTTTTAATTGTATAATTATCTGTGGTTAGCCACTTGTGCGGAAAAGCGCTGTGATGTGGTTGAAGGCCAGGGAGCACATTTTGGCCTTTATGTGCTTATTTTGTCTTGACTCAGGAAATGAACAACAATCGGGGGTCCGGAGGATAAAGCATAAACACACGAGGGAGCCGCGGGCAGGTCCTGGCGTGTGCAGCAAACTCTGCCCTGTGGAGCGATGTGTTCACCCACTGACTGTGTGCTCCTATCAAGGCTTTTCTGCTGCAATTAAGCTCTATTCTTTTTTCGAAATTATTTTGATCAGATTATTTTTAAAGTTTCTTTCTACCTCCCACAAATTCCAACTTGTGACTGATAATGACTTGACTACAAAAATGTCTGTGATCCATAAAACACATTTTTATAGTCCTAGTCATGTCTAGAAGAAAATGACAATTTCTTTCATTTCATTACATTACATTACATGGCATATGTTGTACTTTTTAAAATGTGTGTTTATTGCAGAACAGGAATTTAAGTAATTATGAAATATAGCAAACTACATGGTGTTTGTTCTAATGGGGGGAACATGACATGAATTGCTATTACAAATATTTTATCTCATATGGAATAAATTGCACTAAAGAGCTATTCAGATATTGTTACATTTCTATTGCAAAATCAGTCCCTGTGTGATTTTCACTCTGGTGGCTGATTCCAAACCTGACCAAATGCTGATGCGCTGCAGTCAGCAGATGTATGCCATTTTCAGCTCAGTCACTCAAGTGGAATAAAACCATGAGTGAGGTGACTGAAGCCCTGGCAACACTGTGCTGTGATTTTCAAGAAGCTTGTACTCTTCTAAACTTGGTTCATTTGTAAGCTATCTTTTATTTGTAGCTAGCACTTAATCTCTTACTCTATGTATAATTATTAAGTTTGTTAGTTCAGTTTATTTCAAACATAAACATAAACTCTACATTTACATTTATATTGATGTTGAGGTTTAATAAATTTAATTGCGTGTGAGTAAAAGTTCAGAAACTGAAACTGTCAGTGACAGTCAAATAGGTATAGTCAAAATGGCAAAATGTCCCAAGAGGCTTGTGTTTTTCATTCATGGTTTTGTTTTCCAAATGGTTGTTCTTCTTGATAACACTTGAGATTTGGAAAAGTAGTAGTAGTAGCAGTAGCAGCCATTTTTCCTGTAGCTTGTCCTGTTCTGTAGTGTAGCGTAAGAGCTTAGCATGTGTCAGCTGTTGCCTTGGCCCTGCTTTGTGGTCATGCTGCATGTCTGATAATGCACAGGGGATTCACAGGTAACACAGCAGCAGGGCTCCTCTGAGGATACGACTCGTGGCTCAAAGTGTCTAACACAATAGTCCATAAAGGGGGCTTAAGGGAGCCTCCTCCTGGATAATGTGCTAATGAAAGGTGACAGGAAGGACTCAGGCTCTGGAGCGGGCCGGGCCACTGGTCAGAGCAAAGGATAGGAAGCAATGTGTGGCTGGACTAAAGTGCAGTCAGAAGCAAATGAAAGCTCATATCTGCCATCTCCCCGGCCTCTGTGCACTTTCCTGTTTGGACTTGAAGGTGATTGGAGCCGAGGCGGTGACAGTTGACGGAAGCGGTGTACAGGAGAGAGTATTTATTTACAGTCAGAGGCAGCGATGCTTGTTCAGGATGCGGTTTCACGCAGGATGTGCTGCTCCCTTCTCTTCCCCCCAACACCTCCTGCCATCTTTCTCATCTCCACCCTGAGCGCCAGTCCTCAGGTCCGATCAGGAATGGGAAGTGGGCCCATAGGGAGGGGCCATCTCCTGCATTGTGTAAGAGGCTGGGTCTGGAGGTCTGGAGGCAGCAGCACACAGCTCACTCAGCATGCCTTCCTGCCGGACCCAAGGGGTGGACCAGAGTCATCACAGGTCACTGACAAGGGAGGCTGCAGGCTGGGGAATGCATCAGAGCATGTCTTTAGAAGCAATGGGATGCTTAGCTGCTAACATTCACACAGAAATGCTCAATTTGTCAGTCAAAAATATAACAGGATTTAGTGCTGTAAGATTAAGTGCGATTGAATTGAAATCACAATTTGAATAGACGCAATTAGTAAATCGCAAAGGCTGCAGTTTTTTAAGTAGCATAAGCTCCTCTGCAAACAACAAAATATCTTATTCTGCCAACTTTAGTTTAGATCTGTACAAACATGTTCTGAAATATGATTATGGTATTAGTTTGTCAGTTCATATTTCAGTCTTTTTGTCAGTTCTTATGGACATGTTTTAAGTGTGAACTTTGAACAGAATTATTTTTATTAAAACATAAATTGCACATCTTATCACAACCGTAATGCCCTAACAGGAATGATAAAACAGTTTTTTAGTTAGTAATAAAAGTTAGTACCACGGACATATAAAAGCGAATTCATATAATGCTAAATGTGTCTTTCAAACAAGTGGCTGTATCTATAAATCTATAACACCTTTAGGCTATCTTCTACAGACATTCAGATGAGCAATGGTTTATACGTTTTATTAGATAATTATCGGTGGTGAATTAATTAACTCCGATACTGTCTCACTGCCAAAGCTAACATACTTTGAATGAGACAGACAGAAACTTGCTAAAACCTGTGCCATGCTGTCTTTCAGAGCCGTTGTCTTTATTGCCAGGAATCCATCTTGTAAAGCAGTGGTTGTGGGAGTGCAAGGTGTGTAAATCCTTGTAATTACATTGTACTTTCTTTGACTGCAGAACAGTCATCACACGCCATACAACTT